ATATATCATTTATGGTAATCAGTTTGAACGAGAATCGCACACATAAAAAAAAATTGTAAACAAACAAAGCACACGCATACATGACAACAATGGCAGTAAACTAGCATTTTGTTGTTCACTTTGTGAAATAATATGGCTTATTTTCGATTTCAATTGAGCAATAATAAAAATGACGGTTGTTTCATTTCTACCTCAAATAGAAACTTTGATTTCAATTTACGTGACCTGAGCGAAATAAAATTTTGTTGACATCATAACAATCGAAATAAAATGCATACAATTGATCTGTATATAAACTAAAAGAAAATTCATACACGTCGCGAAAAAAAAACTAACAAAGAAAAGAATGAAAATGTGTCAATTGGATTTTGTAGACGATTATAAGAAAAAACTGCAGCGATGATTGATGAACTGGCACCTGTGTGTGTATATGTGAGGAATTGATTAACCTTCTTTAGAATTCTCAAGATGGCATTGTCACGTTTTATTCAAAGATCGTGAGTGCATTTGATGCGCAGTGGATACGATTATCGCAACATAAATATATCCAATAAATGCAAACGAGTTTTGTGTTTTGTTTCACTGTTTTCACCGCAAAAGCGACACGGAAATAACAGTTAAATTCTAGAGTTTAGAGCCATACAAAAGCCATTGATATTAAAGGTTCGTTTTTTCGGCTTCCAATGGCTTTTGTGCCGGTGGTCACATTTCTACCGCTCAATCGATCGAATCGATTCACAGTGATTTGTTGCAAGGTTAATTTTCCGACATTCGCCCCGAACGCGCATCTTTCTGCGTCACGCGAGCAAAAGGTAAAGAAAGAAAGAGAGAGAGAGAGCAAAAACAAAATGCACGTGTTAAGCACCTGCATTTTGTAATCCGGATCCACTGGTCATGTTCTCTCTGTAAGATCATTATCTCTTCACATCGCCATCATTTTCAATTCTTTCTTCTCTCGTATCTGCGTACTCGCTGGCAGAAAAATATACAAAAATTCATAAAATGAACTCGAACCCATAATTCATTCTCATGCATTCCGCATATTATTTTATTTTCCTCTTCTGTTTGCGATTTTTATTTTGAACCTGGTGATATTTCGACATACAGTGGCGAATGATATCGCATCGTGTATGTATTTATGTGTACTTGTGTGTATGAGAAGTGCATTCTTTGCTGGCAATGGTTCGCCAATTTGAAATTTGTTGACCACGGCATCAAGAACTTTCTTTTCGAATGGATTGGCCTATATTGACTTCATTGCGAACGTGGAAATAATCTCCGTTTACTCACATGTCCAACACCAATCACTTGGATGGATTTTGGATTTTCAACCGAAGCCCACAAAAAACGTCCATTCGAAGTAATTTGACGAGATGGATAAAAACCACATTAAAATCAATTGTCTCAAGCAAGCTTCCGTAAGCATTTCAATCACACTCGTTTCCCTATCACCATTTTGATGAGCAGTGATTTCACAGCGCGATCAAGTTGCACAAACGATCAAACACTTTGATGGGACAACATTAGGGCTAAACATTTTGCTCATTGAATGTTTTGAACCAACATTTAATCATCATGCGATGGGAATGAATTTTTTTTTTCAAACTGTCCGAAACACACTATTGTCGGCGGGACAAGCAATTTTCGCCAAATTGCCAATTTTCAACACTTTCATCGCGTAATCACCACATTCGTCCATTGAAAATGAGTAGCCAATTCAAAAGCGAAAACTGTTGCGTTCTTCTTTTTTTTCTTCCATTGATTAATTTTCAAATTCGGTAGCTCTACCGAAACTATCACTCGAACATTATTCTATGAACAGCCGTCAAACATTCAAATTATGAAAGAAGAAAAAAACAGCGGTTCGTTGGAAAGAAATTTCTCTTTTTGGCATATTATTCTAGTTTTTCTTTCATCTCATTTGTTGTATTGGGAATGCGAACATAATAAAAGAGAAATCAATTGGAATCAATCGAGTCGATAGTTTTTAATGAGATATTATCGAAAATGCTTCATGAGTCAAGTATTGTCAATCATTTTTATGTTACTTTTGTACAAAGCTATTCACTGACACGGAAAGAAAGAGAGGGAGAGAGAGAGAGAGAGAAAACTCAAGGAAAAAAGTATTCACTGTGCCAAACTTCCAATGATTAAATCAATTTTGTTCCTCCTTTGACTTTTTCTCTTGTTTGAGTTCGGGTTTTTTTTTTTCTCTGTATGTTCACTTTTTTCTCTTCTGGAAAAAAACTGCCAATTCCATATATAAATTAAAACAAATCACATTGCGAGAGTGAATTTAGTAAATCGAATTGAATCGCCCAGAAATTACCGGGTCGATATCCAGCGTCGTTAACGTGTCTTAATCGAAGTGGTGATTTTCGATTCCGAAGATACATCATCAGGCAGCTAGCGACCGGAGTCGATGGCCTGTGTTATTGAATGTTGTGGTTTATGCGAAGTAAACCCAAAGCAGGCCACAACGGCTTAACGCAGAAATTAGGCTCAATTCCGAATAATTTTCCACACGAATTAATAAAAAGAAAAAAGAATGTTACGTGATAAAATCCATTAAAACGTTTTTTTTTATTTTCGTCTGTTTCTTCTTTTTGTTTGGTGTTTTTTATTTCGTCGTCGTCATCGTCATCGTCGTCGATGTTGTGCTGATTCAGTTCTCAGTATGAGTTAAATGTTTGGAATACGAATTAAGAAGTGATTGGAATTTTTTTTTTCTGCGCGAAGCCGTAATAAAGCGAATACCGATTTCATGAAGCAAGCGAGAGGGAAAAAAATAACACGCAGAAAAGAAAACATCGTAATCAATATATAAAGTTGCACTAGCGGTGGTGTTGGTGGCGACGACAGCGACGTAATTGTCTCATGATGATGTTTTTTTTTACTGTTGCACCGCATGCATTGTTCGTATAGCACACAACGCTCAGTGCATATACAATATTGCACTGAATTTCACTCGTAACAGCAACAACAACAAAAAAACAATAATTATTATTATCATCATATGCGTGATATTGTTTTTTATTTTTATTATTTCGTCAATTGTGCGGTTTTTCGAACGTTATAAAAGAAATTACGAAATTCATTAGGAAATTTGCCGAATATCGCTAACAAAACAAGCGCAACAATCTTTATCAATAATTTATTATGTGCGATTTAGATTATAGTTTTCGTCAATTTTCCAATAAAACTATGCAACGATAGCTTTTAAACTTTATAGCCTAACGGTTTGTTTTCAACTAGTGCAGTGCGTGTTGAGCGCCACTTTTCGGTTTTGTAATCGAAGCGCACAAAACATAGAGTCGAATGCCGAACAAGAATGTGCGCGAGAATCCAATTTTTGAATCGCACCAATTGAATTCGGACAAGAATTCATCATGGTAACCGTTTTCTCATGAATTGCAGCCGTGTTCAAATCACGAATATTGTTATTGTTGCTGTTGAGTGATGTTCGAACACATTCATTAGGTGTTGTTTTTAATGCAACAATTCTACCGTTACTGCACAAGATTAAATAATACTTTCCATTAAACAATGGCTGCTTATATTACATGGCCCGACAGATTTGCCAGCGTACATAATTCTGACGAATCTTCGGCGTAACTGATTCTTTGGTGGGTAATTTTTTCGGGAGTTAAACCTTTTTTTTCTCTCTCTCTCTCTCTCTCTCTCTCTCTCTCTCTCTCTCTCTCTCTTTCTCTCTTCAATTCAATTACTGCATCACCCGCGCGCATCTTTTGCAACAGCACAACAATTGCATCACCGGTTTTAAAATTGGTCGGTGGTTTGTGTGTGTGCGCGCCACACTTTTATAGGTTATTGAGGCGCCGAGATCTAAAAATAAAGTTGTTCAAGCTCGTTTGAGCCAATTAAAAATTCAATAGAGAATCATATGGACAGTTGCTCAGTTGCTTTCTGTCAACCGGTGCACAGAAAACGCAACAGAAGCAACAACAGAAACGTAATTCGCACAGCAATTGAGCATTGGTTGCGGCAAGAAATTGGCTCGTTCTCTTCGTTTGTTTCGCATCTTCACGGGAATATATGTATGTTAAACAACCGTCACGCACACTCTAAAAGCCATGCAGTATTCTCTCTCTTTCTCTCGCTCGCACTCTGCTCAAGCATCAGCTTATGATGGGTTTATTGTTCAGCGATTACGGAATTTATTTCTAAGTCGAAGTGCGCTCAAGCGTGCATTAAGGTTAAATGCTCCACGGTTTATTTAAATGGAACTCAGAAGAAGCAGAGACACATACGGTAGAGGGGATAGATATATGGAGAGAGAGAGAGAGAGAGAGAGAGAGTGAGAGAGAGAGAGAATAAAAGAAAGAGAACCGTTGTGCTGTTGTGCTGTGTTGTCCATTGAGTGTTACCATGCACATCATAAACAATTTCATAATCGAATTTAAACGGATTAAAGATGTCAACCGTACAAACTTCGTATCAATATGCATGCGCTATGGTGTGCAATGCTGCGCAACGACCGCAATTTCGATGTGTAGATTTTAATTATTGATCGTTCGTCGTTAACGTCGTAATAGTTAGTCAGCCAAACGGACAGGGAGTTTTTGTCACTCAAAACCCAATTCCCATTTAAATTATCATTTCCGTTGTTGGCTTCGGCTATTTTTATTTAGACACATCCATAAATAACTTGATTAGCTTTTTTATGACTATGATAAACTACCTGAATGTCTTATTTCGCACCAGAAACTCTTCAAAACGACCGTAGAGTCATTTACAAGAGCACAAAACAAGTGCTGCTTATGCATCTTGGCAAATTGTATTCATCGAGGTTTTGAGTTTTATTTTGGCATAAAAATCTCCATGCATCTTCCCATTAAATGGATTTAATGAGCGAGAAATGAAATACTTTTATGACCTTCTTTCCCGTCAAGCTACTGCTGCGACGGCTTCGACTGTGTCTTTTTCCTTTTGTTTTTGTTTATTAATTCGTTATGCATTTTATATTTTCACTTACGCAGATTTGGTGTGAGTCTAAATGACAGAAAATTAATTCAAAGGTTTCTTCTTACGGAGTCGACGGAACCAGATCGAGTAGATACACACAGTGAGAGAAAAGATTTACGATCGCTCGCGGCCTTGTGAGTGTGAATGTGTGTGTGTGTCTGTTCGTGTGTGCATTTCACGCGGACTATGTAACATTATTTCGATGACACATTAAATTCAATTACGCAAAATCATGACGTCCAAATACGATCGAATTAAATCCGAATGTAAACGAAAAAATATACTCTGGGAAGATCCCGATTTTCAAGCGGTTCAATCGTCAGTATTCTACTATCAAACGCCGCCCTTCACATTTCAATGGAAACGTATTTCGGAAATTGTGCAATCACCGTTATTCATCAACGATGGCGAACAGTTTGACATCATACCCGGCAAAATGGGTAAGAAATTCACTTTGGCTTTTAACGATTGCAGGGCCTCGATTGGTCCATAAATTTCGATTTGGTCGACAATAAATTTCGCGTGTTTCATGTTTTAACATGTTGTTTTCAGGTGACCGATGGCTAGTGTCATGTTTGGGCGTGTTATTTTCATTGAAAAATCTATTTTATCGCGTTGTGCCGGCCGATCAAAATTTCGAAAATTATCATGGCGTGTTTCGGTTTCGATTGTGGTGGTGTGGCGAGTGGGTTGAGGTTCTAGTCGACGATCGTCTACCAACGATAAATGGAAAATTGTCATTTCTACAACCGCTCAAATCTAACTGCTTTTGGGCCGCACTGCTTGAAAAAGCGATAGCCAAGTGAGTTGTTCTTAATTTGGTGTTGTTGGTTTGACACACGTGTTTGTTTTACATTACAACTTTTCAATTTGAAGTTTGCGCGCGGGTTTTATCTTCTGTACATTTTGTCGTTTTTCAGATTGCATGGTTCATACGAGGCACTCAAGTATGGAACACGTTCGGATGGATTGAGCGATTTGACGGGCGGCGTTGTTGAGACAATCCCAGTAAAATCCGGTTCGGATTCAATACGACCAGCAATTTTGCGTTCAATACTCGATACCACCTGCATCATAACGTGCATTGCAATCAGAGGAAATAGTTCACAATTCAAATCACAACCGGAAAAATTTCCCAATGGAATCGCAATCGGCGTTAGCTATCGCTTGTGTTCATTGGATAAAGTCGAAAATACGATGGGCGATTCGGTGCAATTGGTACGATTGAAAGACCCAATGACATCGGATGCATTGGGCTTGAAAACGGGCTTCACCGGTGAATGGTCGGCCACGTCACCGCTGTGGGAACGTTGTTCGGAACAAGAACGTGATCGTTTGCTTGGTCAACTTGATGCCAACGAATTTTGGATGTCATTCTTAGCACTCACCGAAACATTTACGAATCTGGAATGCATTCATCTTGATACGGACACGGCGAAGGATGAACTGTCGTTGAGCGACCGACCCAGACGATGGTCAATGAAAATGTTCCAAGGATTTTGGCGCAAAGGGGTCACAGCGGGCGGCTGTCGCAATCATGACTCATTCCACATTAACCCACAGTTGCAGTTATTCGTTGCGGAAAAGGAAGATGTAATCATCGCATTGAACCAGCATACGGCTGTCGAACCAAAAGTCATTGGTTTTACAATGTACAAATTAAATTCAAGTAAGATTTCAATCGAATGTTTTACTTTCTTTACTCGTTTGCTTTTTATTAATTCTGATTAATTGTAACATTTGTCATTTCTGTGATTCTCTTCTGCAGTTAAAAACAAATTAACTGAAAATCTTTCCAAAGAGTTTTTCAAAAATCAAGTTAGCTTTATCAATTCGGACTATGGCAATTCGAGACACGTTAGCTATCGTTGTAATTTAGAAGCGGGACGATATTTATTAATGGCTACAACGTATGAACCCGGAGAAGAATCAGGTAAATATCGTTCGAAACGAGAATTGATTCTCACCAAGATTGTCTACATGTTTTCAATTGAATGTCTAGATTTCAAACCGAGTCTCGTTTCATCACAAAGGATTTTAATTTGGAAAGGGTTGTAATCATTGTTATTGTCATATTTCAGGTTTCACCGTTCGCATGTTGGGAAACCATATAAAACTGGCCCAATTGGAAACTCAGACGATGATGATCTTAGACCCATTCCCTCCACTTAGCGTGACGCAACAGCGTAACGACACCGATACGACGAAGAAGAAATGCCAGTACGAACCAATTTTTATGCAACTGGCCGATGAAAATAGGTAAATCCAATACTTTTAATATAAAAGATTTGACAGATTTGATTGAATTTTGTATGAAAAATCATTTATTGAATGAGATTTGAAAAGGAAATAACGAATTTTTTCTCTCATTAATCTATTCTGATAATAAATCGATCATTTTTAGCTCATTTTTTTTTAAATAATTGAATTTCCATTATGTCAATCATTGTTTCACTACAGAACCATCAATAGTTTCGAATTGCAAGAACTTCTCGATGCATGCCTGCCCAATGATTACATCAAAAGCTGTGCAAGTATCGATATTTGTCGTCAAGTTGTATCACTGCTAGATGTAAGTATTTTGATTTCGGAAATTGAGTCATTTCATATTCAAATGGATATCGAAACAACGAAGGTTTACTCCTCACTTTACTGAATCGTTCATCATTTCAAACCAATAAAATTCCGATTTCAGAAAACCGGACATGGTCGCATCAATTTCATGCAGTTTAAAACATTCATAGCCAATTTGAAGGCATGGCAGGGTGTATTCAAAATGTACTCAAAAGAAAAGGCCGGCATATTACGGGCTGAACGATTGCGAGATGCTCTCTACGACGTCGGCTTTCAGTTGAGCTCAGAAATAATGTCAATCATCATGCTGAAATACATGCGAAAGGATGGCACGTTGCGTTTGGGTGACTTTGCATCAGCCATTCTTCACCTAACAACAGCGTTTGGTAAGTGAAATCGATTGTTTTTTTTTTGTGTGTGCATATTTTCAATAATTTTCGTAAATATTTTAACTCTTGAAAAATTGATTTCTGCTTTCAAAATTATAGAAGTGTTTCAGCGCAAAGACCATGACCAAGATAATTTGATCAAAATCGAAATGGCGGATGTAAGCGACTGACTACTTTTTTTTCTTTTTTCTTGAAAAATGAAACAGACCCAAACGTTTTTACCAATTTTTTGTTTATTTCCATTTTTGCAGTGGATAAAGTCGGTGCTAAGATGTTGATGCTCATTTTCGTACATTCTTTGGAAATACATCCAGTTTTAGACATTAGTTATATTTTCATTGTTTTTAGTGTTATAAAATCTAAATCACGGCATGTCCTTAATTCTTACTAATTGTTTACTTGAAAATAAATGAGAAATTTCGTAGAAAAAAAAAAATATTTGAAACGAAACACATATTAATTTCTAAATGATTCTCGAGTTCGGTCGGATTTTGAGTAAGTATTTAAGCTTAAATTCGAGAAATAAAATGTTCTGATTTTTAATATCAACCCTTTGATCACCGAATACTATTCAAAGAATCGAAAGTCCTATTTCGCTTCTTCCGACCATTTGTTGGGGTTTGTATAATATGTTAGAAAACTTTCATTCTTTTCATTGAGACGAAAATGTTCCAAAAATCGTTGAAAGAAAAAAATCAGATACTACATTGCACATACATTTTGTTTCAATTAGAGTTTTTTACACAATAACAAACTAGACCTATGATGAGTCCTTTTTGAACATTTTATGTGCCTTTACGCGAAGTGAGGAGAATTTTCTAATTTACTCGTGCTGAGTCAGAAGTCCTGACTAGAGGAATCAATAGAGTGAACATACTATGGTATAAAGATTATCAATAACCCTGTATATAATTTTTATTTACGAAAATGAAACAATATTTTATAAAATTTCTGGATGGAACAGCTAAGCATGTGTAAAAAAAAATTTCAGATGGCTTATAATTAAAAAATTACAGAAATATCTGGTTTCCTAGCACTATGTTGTGACAGATCTCAAATAATTGAACTACTCAATATTGAAATTATGTAAGAGTATGACCAAAGAGTAAATTTTTTTAGTTACCTGGAATGGAATGTAACACAGTTCTTCATGTATCCATCACATTCTAAATCATAAAATATACTTACTGTCTTGAAGAGCTGACGGTTGACATTTCCGAATGGGCCGACAGTAATAATTGCTCCGTTTTGCCTTTGGCTAAGATAGATGGCACAGTGTATTTTGCAATTCAATCGGAAAATTGTACCAGTTTCTATCGTAAAGAATCTTATCCAAGTCATTATTCCTAGGGGGAAAGATCAATTGGTCGTACGCTATTATCTATGTTATTGGTTATTCATCGTTATTCATTGGTATATTGGTGTGAATTGGTCAAATAAATTGAATATTCGTGTCAATCGTGTACATTTAATGTGAACTCAACATAAAAATATAGAACAATAGAGACCGATGTACGCCGATATCTGCCAATATACAGATAAACGCTTATTTTTGAAAAATAACAATACATCAGCGAATTCGTTTAAATTCACGTTAAAGTGCCACGTACTTTTGGTTAAAGCGCTGTACCTAACGCTATACTTCTACCTGTATCTGCTTCTTATATCAAACGAATCTTCGAAAACTGATTATGCATGAAATAAAAAATTAATAGAAACCAGAATCTACATTTATTTTTAATTACTATTTTCTATAAACCTAGCATATGTGATTATGAATTATCCTACGAAATTATGTTTAGTTCATGACACTTGATAAAGTTTAAGTGCCGCGTACTTAAGATAGTACTTAATTGCCGTAGTACTGGTCTAGAAATAAATGACACTAGAAATGACATGATAAGTTTGCTGATAAATAAGTACTTAAGTACGCGGTACTCGAGCAATGGCTTAAGTACGCGATACTTAA